CGCAACCTAATACCATGCCAAGCTAAGCTCATACTGTATAAAACAGCTATAATGTCACATTTAACATACTGTTATTTAGTCTGGAACTTTTGTAAATCTTCAGATGGGCGAAAAAACGAACGCATCCAAGAGCGAGCCCTGCGTGCGGTCTTCAAAACAACAACAGAGACATATGAGGAACTTCTTAAGCGTGCTAAGTTACCTACGCTTCATAATAGACGCTTACAGGACATAGCAATACTAATGTATAAAGTAAAGAACGATCTAGTACCTAGCTACATATCTGAGATATTTACTCGAAAGGGTACTCGTTATAACCTTAGGAATAGTGACTTTGAAATACCACGATTTAATACTATACGCTATGGTAAACACACACTTAGGTATCAAGGACCATATATCTGGTCCAAATGAGAAAATGGTATGCGTGAACTACCAAGCCTTAGCATCTTTAAAACTAAAATCCGTAGAGTTGACCTGGCCAGCCTAGTGGAAGACAGTGGCAACTGCTGCAATCTTTGCAGCACGTGATTTTTTTAATTATCTGCATTGTACAAGTATTTTTATGTTATCTTAACATTATTAATATTTCTAAATATTTTTAGATTTTAATGCATAGTTTATCGGCTATATTGTTACTTATTATGATACTGTACATAGTTTTTTTTACTAGTTTTGTAATAGTAGGTGTCCCCAATTAGCTCTATGAGCTAAATACATTGACACGGTAATAAAGATTTTATTATTATTATTATTATTATTATTATTATTATTATTATAACTACGGTCGATTTTGGAAAGTTACGTCTACAGGCCCCTGGAAGAAGGTTTCTTTTGTCTGGAAAATGAACTTATGCTCACATACGTAAAACCTTTGTCTTCAAACAAAGACATAGTATTGACCGGTGTGACCTGCATAATACTACAATGTATTTTGTTACTGCATAATACTACAACAGCATAATACTGTACCAACTGTGACCTGCTCACAAAGAACCCTAGAGGTAATGCTCTGAGATCCTTCTGTAACTCTGTAAACGATCAATCAATTGAAACCTAAGAATAATATTTCACAGTTGGTAGCCTCCTCACAAGTTGCATACTTTTTAAGTCCGCAAATTATTTTAAACGTCGATGCTTCTTTGGTTATCTAAGCTAATGGGTTCGCTAAGTATGGGTTTCGTTAATTGTTCGTCTTGTTAATGTTTCAATTTTTTTCTGATCCATTGAACCACCGATGCACGAAAAGCTTTCATTACGGTTTTTATGAAATTCTTTTTCGCGAATTTTTAAGAAATTTTGCATGAGAAACTTTGGGTTGAATTATAACAATAAGCGAAAACCACCGAATACATCTTTGCCCTCGAAGATGTTACCGCGTTTAGTTCTGGAAAAGTACTGACTGAATTGCAGCTTGCTTCTTCTAAATTCGAAATTGGAGGAAATAAAAATTAGTTTATTAATTTTTTAAATTAAATAAGTTCTACTCCAGAATTCTCCATACGGACATTAAATGATAAGAATTACTACTCAGGTTGACGCACCTCTCTCCATAAGCTTTTTATGTCTCTTATGAAATAAATTATAGCAATTTAGGGTTCCAAGGATACAATTTAAATTGTAAACCTATGAGCCACAGGGGTTTCTTTTTAAGTTCTCCCTATGAGTTTCATTATTGTTATTGTTATTTTCTTCTGGCACATGCCACCGACGCGTTTTGTCACGCGAAGTATGGATTCAACCGTAATGAAACGAGCGGGTTTCAAGTGATCTAAAATTTTCAGCATTAATTGGTATGAGCTGACGTGTCTGATATGAAATCCTATGTATGCAGCTTGTTTTTTTTAACTTTTCCCTCCAAAATGTGCTATTTTCTGCTTCTCGCGAAAAGCGAACGAACGTCTTATAATGCACGCACTCATGTTTCACTTGGAATGCTCCATCGAAGACTTTAAGATTATACCATGTTAACTACGGTAGAATGTTACATAAGAAAATCGAATTCAAAGATTTCTTGTCCTCTTCGTGCAGAACTTAGGGAAAAAAAAGGGAAAAAACTTTTCGGCTCTAATTAAAATTACCTATATTGAAATTTTCTTGTGGTATGTTGTCACCTCACGAAAAGCAAAGCGATTGTAAAATATACTCGTTGAATGGTCACCATTGATTGCAAATAAAACAGAAAGATTGCAGCTTTAAGGAAAGAATTACAAACTCTTTTGGATTTTTTTTTTACGATATATAACCATGCATTTTGTTTGTACTATTCTAATTTTCACCGGTAATCAATTATTTAGAGAAATATATGAATTACAAATACTGCTAGAATTAACTAATAAATTTCCTCTGACGCGGCGAGACCGACAGTCTGCTAATTCTAGCGAATTCTGCAAGACTGACCTTTCTGACAAGCCGGGTAAAATTTATGCAAAAGAATAATGGTTTGGAGGTATTTTTTCTTTTTATTTTTTTCTCTCCTCACTTCCACCAGGTGTTCACAGAACAGTTCTTATCCTAACAGTGGATCAACTAACGCTGAAAATGAAACCGAATCGACTGGATTGAATTTTTCCATCTCAAGGCCGACAGAAGCTACAACATCTGTTTCCAGCGAAAATGCTCCTAGTAATAACTCTGTCTTGAAGAAAGAAGGTGCTCAAAACTTTACAGTCGAGGAGGAGGAGTTGTGGTCATTTGAGCAAGATGAATCCGCATTCAAAAGAAATTTACCCTTCTTTCAGGAAAAGATGATTGATCGGCTGAGAACTTGGAAAGAAGTTCTGATCAATGCAACTAATCGGTGTGCGAAGCTAAATTACATTAGCAGTGCTATTGCAGCCGAACTAGAAACTAAATTCGTGGTCTTTCGAGCCCACAACGTTGCTGGCGAGGATGAATCTGATTATGGTAAATTTTTGACTCTTGAAACTTTTCACCCAGTGCTCATGCGGCAGAAGAAAAACCATGACCTGGTTTCTGTTGCTTATATGTCCATCTTGGAACTGTGGCCTCTGTTGGTTTTGTGCTTTTCGTGTGCGGCTTTATCAGGAATGATCATCTGGCTTTTGGTGAGTATTGTGATCAGTCACACTTTGAGCAATAGGGATATTTATTTATCAGGTAGAGTTCGAAAACGCGTGATGGGGCAGACATAAATATTTTGCATATATTGCAAAGACAAGTGTTTTCAAAAGTATGTTATGAGCAGCTCTTAATGTCGAGTTTTTGACTAAACCAGCGATGAAGGATTCTATTTTAGTTAGATATCATCAGAGGCAAGCAGTCTTCGATGAGGACATATTCAAAAGCATAATTCGAGAAAGAAGACGCTTTAGCGCAGACAAGATGCCGAAAAAATTATAATGTATGCTACTCAGTTTATTAATATCCCTTACTAACTGCCCTCTTGACTTTGCATGTTCAAGGATCATCGCTCGAATCCGGAGACTTTCTCCAGCCGATTCTGGAAGGGCATTGCAGACGGAATGTGGTGGGCAATAGTTACCATGACAACAGTGGGGTAAGTTTGCTGACTGAGATAGAATGTTATGGAGAACGTTACTTTCCGAAATCGTTCGAACACTCGTGTTGGCTGCTAATCCTTGGTCCGATAGAGGAAGAGTTTTTTTTTCTGGTAATAAATTTAGAAATTACATATTTTTATTTACTTGTGACTGATTTTAATTTGATCATTTGTCATTCGGCTCTAAAATTATTCTTTGCCTAGAATGCCAATGAAGGGATGGGGAAATGTACAATTCAGTAATTGCTGCGTGCCTCGTTTTAGACGTACGAGGTACAGCAATCTGTCTGGCCATAGACTTTGCTGCAATAAATCTCAAAGGGACTCTAGCGAGGATTCTTGAGCCAAACCCTGTAAGGGAAGAAATGAAATAACAAATAAACATTTTTACATTTTAAAATCAAGTGTAGACAAATTAACTTGTCGGTGATTTTAAGATAACTTGGTTTGAACGCCTGAGTTGATGATGGAAATCAGACACCATAAATAGATTCTAGAGCTGACGTTTCGAGCGATATCCCTTCGTCAAAGGGAATTGAAAAGTTGTTGCTAAGTACAAATAATTGGACGATCTGTTTTCATTATAGTTAAGCCAAAACATTCCTTTCATTTAGAGATCCTACAGCATTCTTTCCTGTCCTTTACGTATCATTCACTCTTGTAAATTAGAAAGAGGAAGCTCTAAAACCAATTTCCAATACAGGTATGGTGACAAAGCTCCCAAGTCATGGTTTTCTCGTCTCTTTGCTGTTGTGTGGATGATAGCAGGAATAGTTTTATTGTCCATGTTCACGGCTCAGGTGTCGTCTCGTCTAACAACTCAGGAGCTAAAGGGCGAAGACCATTTGTTTGGCAAAAAGGTTAGAATATCGAGGGGTAAATATCCCACGACTAATATTAACACCCTTGCTGCTGTTACTGTTACTACTTTACTACTTTACTACAACCACCACCACCACTACTACTACTACTACTACTACTACTACTATTACGACTACTTCTTATATGCTGCTGCTGCTGATGCTACTACATTTACTACTAATACACCTCTCACGCTCTCTCATTACCACGGCCAACGGCTCAAAAGTGTTTCAAAACCATTACTGGGGTGTCCTAGTAAAACAGTAGAACATAACCAGGAAATCTTTTGCCAGACTTCGCGTTTATTCATCCTATATCTTAGGAAAGGGGATATCTTAAGTGAGTGAATTTTCAAATTATTTTTGACATTTCGAATTGTGAGCAGCATTCAGTTCCTATATTAAAGGATCCGATGTGTAAGTGATACCTTTATCAGTCGGCTTTGTAATTTTAATTGTTACTCAGCACAATATGGCATGTCGGAAATATATCGAAGCGTAAAAGAGAAGGCGTTTTCACGAATTGCATAAAGTTTATACAACCGCTGTCAAGAACAAAAGAAAACGCATATATTCCGCCTAATGAAATTGAAGTAATTTCGAATTTTTTGTGGAGAGATGAATATTTGTAATCCATTAGCTCTTAGAGCCTTGCGGCAAGGAGAGAACAGAAGATTTCATGCAGCTGAAAGACGTGAAATAATTTATCGCATGTTAGCGCTATTGCTCGGGCGTCTTGTTTGAGTAAACTGGCTATCCGTGGATTGATTGTTATTTCAGTTATTTTCAGTTATTTATTTGGCGACATTTGTATGCCACGGATCTCACGAGTCCAGCTGTTGCTGGAAAAAAAAGTTTTAAAGACTTCAAGTCCCTGCGGTATATTGATTAATGCTTGCATTATTCAGTGGGCCAAGATGATATACTAGAGTGATTAAAAAACCAAATAATGTGTTTATTCTTAAAAAAGAAATTAAAAAAAAGCTTTGAACATGTTGTTAGTGTTGGGGTGAATACTATTTTGGCCGCCCAAATTTCCCGTTCGCTACGTGTTAATTTATCACTCACCTATTTATTTTATATTTTAGGAAATTTGTAAGTATTGATATTAATTCCAGGGACAAGCAGATGTTTTCTTTGCATAGTCTTTTTCTTTTACATGAATAAAATTACGCCCTTGGCTGAAAACGAGTGCATTTTTCATGTAACACGAGTGTAAAGTTGTAACACAAGTGTAAAGTTGTAACACGAGTGTAAAATTGTAACACTAGTGTAAAATTGTAACACGAGTGTAAAGTTGTAACACGAGTGTAAAGTTGTAACACGAGTTCAAAGTTGTAACACGAGTGCAAATCATAATTAGCACGCGCGCTGTCAAAGTTTCCTACGTTTTGCCTTTCTCTATGATGTTTTTTTCATGTAAATTTTTAATAAGTAATAACATGATTTCGAGTGGTATAAATAAGCACTTTTAAATATTTCAAAGACTACAATTTATTGTCTCGTGCTTACTCATGCTTATAAATACCAAAATGTACTTGAAATCATGTCATTACCTATACTTAAATTTTCGTAGAACGCTCCGACATTATGACATATGTATGAGATAATATTTTTTCTTATAAAAATATACATATATTCAAACAAATATTTAAAAATTCGATTACAAACGTCGCGAAAAGCGTTTTTTATTAAGGTATTTCAGTTCAGATACCACAGCCTACACTTAATAACACTCAGAAATTGCAATATATAATAGCCGTTATGTACAACTCATTCAGTATGGAGGTCTTTATCAATAACATTTCCTTCCGTATTTACGCAGATTGGGGTTCCTCCTGGTCTCCTTGATTCGAATTATGTTGAATACGAGATGTCATTTTCTCTCGTCGAAGGTAAGTTAGCTTTTGGAACTACTCAGTCAGTGTCAATGACGTAGTTATAGGATGTCTTGGTTGGATCCAAGCCCTTTAACAAGACAAAAAAAAAAGAAAAAGAAAAGGAAAAATTTAAACTATTGTAACGCTAAAAAAAGGAAAGATTTGTAATGTATCATTGTTTTGATGGTAGAAATTGACGACCCCATAAATTCTGCCTCGAGTCTAAAGGGCCTTGATTCCACTTTGGTGTTCCACTGCAATGACAAAGAAGACGATGGTTGGGAAGCTTTGAAGTTTCTTCCGCTCTGCGACATTGGTGCCGCTTTTCTCTTACATCCTGACAACGACGACGAGTTACCTATGGATATTAAGGTTGAGGAGCGTTTTTTTAGATGCCTGAAGTCCAAAGTACGATCAGCGAGAATAAATATTACTGAACTTAGGCGAAATAAAAACAGAGAAGGCATGAAATCACACTCTTGCAAAAAGTTTCTACAGGAGCCAGATACCCTCAAGTTTCAGTTTAAGTGGGTTTATTTCAGTAGCCTATCACAGTATCTTGTTCCTTTTGGTGCACTTATGGGGGCAATCGTACTGGCGTTTATTTTTGGCTCTATCTACGATTTCTGCTGCCGTGAAAATAAGAAGAGGAAGAGCCTGAGGAAAGGAGGTGCGTGTAACTTTTCTTGACTTATTCCTTTTTATTCAGGTGGGTCTGAGATTCTGTAAAAATCATGGGCGTACAGAGTCATTTCGGAAAATATAAAAGTGTTCCTTCAAAATTGTTTATAGGATTTTTGTGCTGATAGGAAAGATCCTAAGTTGTTGCGGTTTTGTTATTTTCAGTGCGACTTGCTTTACATCTCGCAGTCTCTGCGTATAATCTCCCACTCTCCCCCCCCCTCCACAAGCCCTCCTTCCACCTCCTCGCTGCTCCATCTCCTACTAAGCAGTGTGTCGAGTGCTATTTTCATCATTTTATGAAGCCGGCCATATTTGATCTTGAGGCCGAGAGCTTCTGTTCTTCAAATCGTAATCTCTTTAAAGTATAGACGACGTTCTGAACAAATGCGATTTAATCTGCTCTAAGGGATGGGTGACATGTTGAATTTAGCTCATGCATTTGCTCTCGCGCGTTGGGGAATCTGTCAGTTATACGCATATTCGCAATTCTCTCCACGTTACCAGTCAATTCCAAAAGATATGCTTGGTTTCAAGCCTCGCAACAGATAACAAGGACTCCGTAATAAAGATACGCATTAAAAACATAACAGATAGGATGAGCGTAAGTACCCTTGTGTCCTTTTTGGACGGAAAAGTTTTGATTACCTTCATATCAATATTATATCTTGTTTCTTTATCCTTTAGCAAACTCTCTCCAAAGTCATTCAACTCAAGTAAGCCTCGCTCAAAAATCTGGTGATGACCACCAAGAGCTTGATATGGTGAAAAGCAAAGTCTAACATTAAGGAGCTGGTGCATTGAGAAGTAAATTGTAGAAATGTAAACGTAGTTATGACGCATTATTGCGTCCACATTGAAACTGCTAAAAGCTCTGTGTTCCTGCTATCTGTTCATTACTTTATGCCGACATTAAGGGACTTGGTGAAGTTTATAACTAATAAGTAAATGAAAATAAGTACGTAAATAGTTTCAAGTAGTTTTGCTGTCTAGTGGAAATACGAATGCATAAATTTTGTAGATACCCGCCCGAGGTCAACAGCGAAAAGAATCTCAAATTCAAGCGCTGTCAATACAGCTCCTAGAAACTTGGACGAAAATTTAAAATAGACGTCTGAGTGAAATGTTCTCAAAAGAGTTTGGTTTTAGCTTGATCTGGAGGCTAGAAAGTAATAAATGGCAAGTTTAAACGGCAAATGTATTTAACCGAGAAGTGCTATTCCATCATGTTCGTGAAGTCTGATCTTCCGGGTGAGAGTTGACCTAACACCAAGGAAGAGATGCCGCTAATAGTAACTGACGTTTGGACAACCTTAACGGAAGTAATCTTTAGAGTCTGATGATGACTTCTGGTGATCTCTTCTCTCCCCGCATTTTCCACTCTAAAAAAAATTGACTGGTCGGATAAAAGATTGCGAGCAAGTATCAGCAACCTGTCATAATAAGACGCCTCTGCTGCCCAAACCGTACGAATAGGCTAATTGATGTTATTGATAACAATTTAGTAAGCAATTTTTATAGGTTTTTGGATTGTAAATTAAGCTAAGGATAGTATTAAAATGTATGTAAGTAAATCCGCCTCGCTTATAATTGTATTGCAACGAATACTAGCTGTTTGCAAATAAAACGAGTGAATCCTCCAAAGAAAGGAATAATTAAACCTTTCGAACGTAATTGTAGGAATGTAATAATGACAATAATGATAATTTCCTTTATTTAAACACGATAAGGATTTAAGCTTTCCAGCGTGTGGGGTCGTGTTAATGTGCCAGCATGAATAAGGATCATTTCTACCCAATTTTTCACAATTTGCATGCAGTCGAAAACCCTCCTTTTTTGCTATGTCCGAGGAAAGGACCGGGAACGACAAAAAAACAGAAGACAAGACAAAGGACTGGGTCTCACAGTGGTTACTTAGCAACAATTAGACCGCCATTTCTGTTTTGTGGAGACTGAACTATATCGTGAGCGAATTATCACTGATAAAATATGGCTCATACTGTCATATCCATGAAGTTACCCCCAAACATAGATCCTACGAAAGCACGTCTTGCTTATGGGGACCGTGCACTACCCAAACTAGTGAGTATACATCATATCGTTAATCATTTAATGCAGTGCATATAACAATTTTTAGACCTGTCGATCGTACTCGAATCGAACGTGCCCCTAGTTGGCTTAGAACCTCGCATCACTTCAGAATAACTTTCGTCTGTAGGCCTGCACGTTAAGTAGCTGTTTTGTAAATGTAATAATTTTAAAGGAAACGTTTTTTGTGATTGACTGTTTTATTAATAATCCTCTTCGATCAAGTACTCTATCACTGTGCTCTATAATTAGGGTTAATTGGACTTGCTTATTTATTGATTCATTTCTCCAAAGGAGAAAGGCTTGATTAATATGTTGATTCTTTTAGAACCGTGAACTCAACAGTCCTGACCTGTTGACGAGACAGAGGGCATTGATGTCACTTTGTGATGTGATGCACAATCCTGAACATATATCTGAGGGGTTGAGAGTTGGTAAGTGGGACTGATAACTTGAACTGGATGTTTGAAGTATGCCTCTTCATGGAAAAAAGCTCTGTGTTCTTCACGGCTGTGTATTCTGGTACCACATTCTTGTCTACTACAGTGGTCTTGTGGCTCATATTGTTCGAATGGTATCTTGGTTTCCATAATGAAGTTGCTACATGTACTTCTGTTCTTTCCACTTTCAGCTTTGTGTTATTCAAGAAACAGAGCAATGTTTCTGTGTTTAAGTAGACTTATCTAGAACTTCTGTGTGTGACCCATTATATAATGTCTCATCAGTGTAAATGTATCTACTGCAGGTGTTGGTGCAAGTTTAAAGTCTCTGCTCAAAGACTCTGATGGTACAGTGAGGCATAAAGCAACAGAAGTGCTAAGCATCATTGCAGGTACTGTCAGTGCAAAAGAGTTTAATATGTATGTTTATTCTTGGAAGTATCTGCGTGAGCTGAGGTTTACAATGATATGGGACATATTGGAACATTACATGGTAGTCTATGGAATTTTAACACACAGTGGTACATGTTTTCAGTAGTTACTTATCCATACTTACATGCATACTGTGACCTGTTAGGGTACATGTAATTTATATACAGTGCCAGAAGCAGCTGTTTACCAAGTGAAGGGATAGAACAGGAAATTGAAAATTACCAGATTTACTGTAACTCTAAACTATTGTGATTCTTAATCAAATTGGAAGGTCATGCAGTTGGACGTGATGCATTTGTGGATCACAAAATGATTGTACCATTATCAGAACTGGTAAGTTATTATGTGAAAAAAATGAATTGAAATGCTATATTTTTAGATTTAAAATGAACCCTAAAGGCATAGCTTTCACTTATTTGTCCTTTTTCTCTCTTTTTATATGTACCTTCATTACAAAAAAAACTCTGAGTTGAGACTTACATGTTTAAATGAGTACAACCAGTAGATGGACTCATTGGTTCAGTGCAGATCTTGAGTCATTAACTTCATGTTATTATTTACACGTCTAATTTTGTATACTTCATGACTGTATACTGTACAAAGGTGCATGCTTGTAAGGATGTATCATTATTTTACCAGTCTTTGAATGAATGAATCTATTGCAAATTATAGTTTGATGACAACGTCTATCAGGCCAGAAGGAATGCTCACAAGGCCATAGAGATGTGTGTACACATGAGTCCAGGTACTGAGGGAGTTGTTGATGCAAAGCTTGTTCCAGTTTTGGTGGGAAGACTTCTCAAAGAAGAGGATGAGATCAAGGTTAGGAAAAACATGAAATTGTTTCAGCATGCCTGTAAAGCCATATTAATACTAATAAAGAATTTTAAAAATTGTCCTTATACTCATTCTGCTTCCAGACTGACATGAATGTACAATACTTGAGCTCCATTTCTATTCAGAAGTCAGTTGCATAGAGCTAGATGTTGTAATTTGTTTCAGTCTAACTTAAGAAATTGCTCATGCTGACAATAATGACATTAATCAAGGCATAGGCTGTAACTTTGGCATGCTTAGACCCTGTCACATAATGATTACCTACCTGTAAACTTGCATACAGACAAGTGTATCTCCCTAGCATTCCTGTTGTTTAGAATATTAAATTTGGTGTGAGGTGGGGAGGGGGGGTGATGTCTTGTGAAGGAGACTATGGACTTGTAGGAAAGACAAGAAAATACTGTCCATTGCCAATTAAATGAGGTTAAATGCCTCTGGAAGGAGGGGGTTTAGTTTGGGTCTGTGGTTTCAGGGAGGGTATTTGTTGGCATAGTTTACGTTAAAATTACATTGTCACAACTATTTGATAAGTACATGACATTTTCACAAGTATGCCACACCTTGACAGCTATGCTACAGGCTGTACACATGTAGCTTACATGAACATGTAGTTACCTCACTGACCTCTACACTAAAATCAGTTTCTTGCTGCTCAGAAGAGAACTCAGTCCTCCTCTGTGGCTACCTAGACTTGTGTATAGACTACAGACCTTGTACCGTCCAGTTCTGTTAACAATATATGAGTGTTTCAATGATGTCTACACATACCTGCATGTGCGTTACATCTGGCATGTTTCCCTTTTAGGAACTTATTTTAGACACCCTACACTACTGTATGACAATAGAAACCCAGTCTGCACTAGATAGTGGAGCAATGGAGAGTTTCACAAAATTACTGTCCCACAAGACAGCAGCAATCAGAGCAAAAGCTGCCAGGGATGTCATGGATTTAAGGTAAATTGACATGAGTGTATTTCTTTTTTTATCAACACATTTCTTGAGAGGTCTAGAACTGACCCTGGGCAGCGTATTACATGATATTTCAGTGCACCGACTCCAAATCAGCTGCATTCACAAGTCCTTGAATCTTGCTTGCTGCTTAAAAGCACAGTAACTGACTGTTACTGACTGTTTGTTTCTGTATTACTAGGTTAAAACAAATCTTAAGTTTAACACAGTTATAAGCTGCAATGTCTTTGAAATGAGAAGTTTCCTTTCAATTTGACAGTTTTCCTCTTGATGGCAAGGACAAAGCAGTAGATGTCGGAGCAATTCCTGAACTGGTGTTGCTTCTTGAAGATGATAACACTGACGCAAGAGCACAAGCTGCTGGTGCTATTATGACGTAAGTTAAACTTTTTATTTATTTATGAGGAGCTGAATGTATTGGAAAAGGTCTTATTCCTGACAGGTACAATTGACTGTTACACCTATCTACAATTAATGTGATGCAGTAGTGGTTGGACTGTCTACAACCTTCAACTCCAAGCAATTTACATGTATTTCTGTTAACTTAAAATCATTTGAAATTACTGTCAAAAAAGAAATAATTTTCCATCCATCCTGCTTACAGCGATGTGCATTCCATAGAAATTTTATCATAATGTCATGTGGCCCTGATGTAGGTCATAAAGTTATTGTTTATGTTGGAACCCATGAGTAAAAATATATGAGCTACATGTAGGTAAATCACTCAAAACTGAAGTCAACATCCTCCATGTCTAAATAATTGATTCCTAATTGCTCTTACAAAGGGCTAACATCAGCCTTTAAACTCTCTATAGCAGTCAATTTACGTTTCAACTCAGCCGTTAACACTTTAACTCCCATGACCAAGGCAGAATTTCTCCTTACAATATCAATACAATATCAACCAGATAAGTGATGGGAATAAAGAAAAATATCAATTTGGGGATGATTAGTCGATCCCATACTAAATTCTCTGAACTAACATTATAAGAATTTTATGGTTGACAGTAAGGAGAATTACAAATTCAATCTGGGAGTTAAAGGGTTAACACTAAATTACCTGTGATACTCTCCCACCAATGCAGCACCACACAGTTTCTTTAGAAACTTACCCCCTTGATTCTTAAATTTAGTTTGGCAGGGCATTCATTAATCCACTGATTAGCACAGGCTTAAGACTAGTGAAAAGTGAAAGAAAGGATAATACAGATTTACAGGTGGAAAATACATGATGCTGGTAATATTAGTGTATTGTAGATGGTTGTCTTTTTTTGAGTTACAGGCTGAAACTGTTGTTTTCTTTACAATCATCTTGATCCTTCTCAGAATTACAATAACAACTAAAGGGAAGTACGCAGCAATAGAGGAGAATGCGATTCCTAACCTTGTGAAATTGCTAGACGACCCTGAAAGTGAAGTTAGACTCAATGCTCTTAAGGTATCAGTATGTAAACTACTATGTAAAGTTGTAATGTGCAGTATCCTGTCTTTGTTCAATGTCTACATAAGCACTCCAATGTCTCCAAAAATGTTATCCAATTTCCTGTGCAACCATGAATTTCTTTATTAGTGTATCACAAATGGTGTCAATGTGTGTAACCAGCAAAAAATTTGTGCACAAATTGGTTGATCTTCTAGAAGTATAAGTAACTAATTGAGAACAGTGGTAGCAACTTTTTAAAACTGGTTTGATCTTGTTGTAACTTCTTTTTTTTACTGTTACTCTGCTTCTTTTTTGATGTACAAACAGGCCATTACAACTCTTGCAGAAGCCCCTATTGGCAGAACAACACTGCTGGCTTCGGTTAATGAGGTAAGAGTCTCCAAGCATATTTGTAAATAAACAAGTACTGTCTACGTGTACACTTCTGTTATAGTTATGAACCTTAACTTTGATAGCAGAGTCTACATCTTTCATTTTGAATCTTTAGGTTATCAATCCAGTCAATTTTGACTCAGTATTATTCAAGAAGTGACTTAAATAATTATTATTTCTTTACAGGTATCCAAGCTTATTCAGGATCATGACAGTCCAGCAGTCAGAAAGGCTGCACAGATAGCTGTTCAAGTCATCACTTGGAAGCCATGATTGATTAATATCAATTAGTTTTAATATTGATACAAAAAGAAACACTTGTACTTTATATAAATATTTTGTATATAGTCTCTTTGTAAAGTTACTTTCATGTTGTGTATACAATATGTCTGCAGTCTTTTTAAAACAGAAAAATGCAAATAAAACTAGTTTGCAATCATTGTAATCTAAAATTGTTAATATAAACAATAATTGATTGAAATTTGGTGTCACTGATGTTTAAAAAATGGCATAGTTCATGAAAACTGAAAAGCTGCATGCATTATAAATTTAAAGAATTTCATGAAAAAAAAAAAAGTGAAAGGCATTTTGGAATAAAGCATGCAAGAATGTTACAACTGGAAGAACACAGTACTTAACTGATTAAGGCCTGCATATGGTGCCCGATTAAAACACTGCAGCAAATACCCTGGTAGACAGATATGGAAAACTCTGAGAAAGGCCTAATGCATGAAATATTAAATTTTCTTTCTTCTTTCATGGTAAACTGACGCTGGTAGCTGGCAAACTCTAAGAAAGGGGGTAATGCACAAAATATAAGTACAGAGCTTCATTTCTCTTCATCGACTCCTGTATGAACCAGTAAACTGTGTTGTAATACTACTTAAGTGTACAAAATGTATATGTGTAAAATTACAATGGTACATCTGGTCTTTTAATAACAGCCTCAGACCTTTCAATTAGAGTTCTCACTAGCTTTATATGTTCTCTAGCACCATATTGTATCTACCAGGATCTTAATATTTTCCATTTTTTCAGGGGGAGGGGTATATCCAAGCTTGACAATTTCTTTACAACTATGTTGATGTTAAATCATATGATGATGGTGGGGGTGGGGGTGGCTCGTCTTCATCAGAATCAAACTCTGCATTTTCATCTTTCTGCCACTTTCCATCCAAGCCCATGATCCACCCAGCCTGTCGGAGGCGAGAAAAGTGTTTCCTCCTAGCCAGCTCTCCAGGACTTAACGGTGTCTTTTTCTGACTTTTTGGGCCAGGTGTATCAATTGATGGCTTCATGGATTGTTTAGTTTTCTCAAAATGATTGCTTTCCGAGTCCTTCACTGAATTTGACAAGTTTTTGCTTGATTCGGTCCTCTGCACATGTTTATAACCTGGTTTGTCATTACAGATGTCCAGGTCAATGGGCTTTCTGCGCTGAAAGAAAGGCAGCTGTTTTGATGTCCTTTCTTTGCTTTCTTTATGTTTTATTGAGCTTTTTGAGCCTTGAAGGGCCAACTCCTTTTTTTGTTGTGTAATCTTCAGCAATGGTGATTCATCTTCATTCGCATCATCCATAACCTTCTCCATGTATTTCATGTGTTCTCTCTTTTGCCGTATTTCAGCATCTTCTATCAGTTTCTCAAGTCTTACTTTGGCATCTGGAGGTTAAAGGGAAGTGAAGCAAAAGTAATTGTTGTGGAGTTGAATAAATCTTTTAGAAATACAAAATAGGATAATACAAGAAAGTAGCTCCATTTTCTGCATATAAACACACACACACAACCCACAATTCAACCATCTGCTCTGAAGATAGGCTAACACTCAAAACATCAGCTTTGAAGCTCTTTAGCAGTGGCCAATTTACATCACCAACTCAGTTGATAACACCAAACGTTCTAATTTATACTCGCCCACAGATGTAGCACTTAAGTTTCTTTAGAAATTTACAGGTTACTAATCTGCGATTGGTAGATAAAGTACAAAATGACAGCTTTAGGAAAGAGAAAAAAGACGTTTGCCTGAAAAACATGTAAAATTCATGATGATTATAAATTAACTCCCCTTATCAACAGACTTTTTGTGATTGTGGAACATACACCACAGTTATACACAAAGTAAACAAACAAATGAAGGGAAAAAACAAACAAAAATTATAAACAAAACTAAACCAAACAAATTCTGGTTAACATGAAATTCTCTATCATCTCATGCTATTTAATTTGATTTGATTTGATTTTTACACTTACATGAGAAATGTTTCTTCCCTTGCCTGTGAATTCTCAGTACAGCAACAGTGTCAAAAACTGGGCAGTGTTTACAAACTAGACAGGCAAACCTAGAAAGAGCAAAACGAGTCTAAAATAGATTTGCAACAGACTAATAATAATTGTATCAATGCATACAAGTGTTCTGCATGCCCTGCTCGCTAGGATCAGTAATTTCGAAAGCGTCGACGTCGTGGGTCGAGAAAGATCGAGGAAGATGTACAGCTATACGTAGATGGTAAATTTTGAGTTCAGCCGTTGGACTGAGGAAGATGTTTTCTCAAGAGCTAAGCTTATCAAGTGGAAGTTAAAAGATAATTGTTACCTGCCATTTTTCGTGAGTGTGGCTTCGTCTTCGGGAATTTCTTCCAACAAAAGTTCGGATACTCGCTGTCTCTAAGACAGAGTAAGAACATGCAATTCATAATCAATGGAAATTTTCGTATTTTCGCCTATGTTTCGGCCTGGCAAACTGTTCACTAGGCCCAAATTAAAGATTAGTGTCGAGAGGGATTTGATTACTAAAGAAAAACGTTTTCACGAGTCTACGCACCTTTTGTACTCTTAATGCAGTGGGGTCATCGCCAACTCTTTTAAATGACATTTTAAAACTTAGAAGTTTTCGTCTCAAGTAGTACGAATTTGTGATTATATCCACTTGTCGGAGCGCTATTCGTCGTATTCAATACCGTCCACCATGTTAACGCCCGCGTATATTTGTGTTAGCGCCTTTGCGTATTATAATAAATATTGTGGTGTATCCAGTGTGAAATAAATCCTATAGCAGAATGTTCATTAATCAAGTACGTTCTGTTAAAAACGCACTGATCTGGTTCAATCCCTAAATATTCGTCTCCAGTCATTCCATAATCATTTCCCTTGACGATTGACGGCTGTAAAACCAACACTCCCAGTTTTAATTGTTAAGAAATCGAAGACAAGCCGGCCAGATGAGCTGAAACCACGAGAGAACCGATTCTACATTGCCTAGAGTTAAATGAGGACGCATTGATATCTAATGAGTTGCAGAATTTTATAACAATGAAAACATGAAAACAAATTATGACCCAAACTTAAGGAAAGTGAGAGACCGAAACACAAAAAAACAAAAGCAAAAACGAAAAAACGTTGAGCATTGCTGGAACGAATTACGATTCAAATCATATTAATCAAGTAATCGAGTACTTTTATCATCTCTAAAAGAAATCAGAAAAGTCAACTTACATTCGAGTGAACTCTTTTACCCCTGTCACATCACCCCTATTATCATGTAATGAAATCATATGTTTGATGGCAGAACGTAGCAGAATATATGAACTTCCGGCATAGAGCACATTTCGCGCATTTTAGTTTCCTATCGTGCCAGTCTGAGTGAGTTTATCTCAAGATTTTCTGGCGTTTTGGCTTAGTTATCAATAATTACCCACGCAATTGTTCACGTTCGCAATCTCTGTTCTGAGAGAGCTTAATCTCCCGTGACTATTTCTTGAAATTCCCTCAAGGGGCGTACTCATCATAAAAATGTTGTTGCTGTCGTTGTACTTTTCTTTTTTTTTCTTTTGTTGCTTTTTATATTTGTTGTAGTTGTTCTTGTGTTGTAGGTTTTTTTCTATGCAAGGTCGCCACTTAATTTATTCATTCGTTTGGTACATCGTTAGAGGCGTGACGCTCCTTAGGAAAAAAAGGTGGAGGGAAATGATAACATTTGAATTCCTATGGCTCTTCAACTGACAATGCAGAAACACAATAAAATGTATATTTACGACTCGATTATCGGATGCTCTTTAATTTGCTTTTCCAGAAATTCTTTACGTTCTTCAGCTCCAGAGCCTCTTTTTCATGAATGAATAATTCATTTTTCATTTTTATCTAACTGATATATAAATATGTGAAAAATTCCAGGCTGGAATTTACCCAAAGTTTACAGTTACTTGAACTAGGTTGGTATTTAACGTAAAACGATGTATCACCATGATAACCTTAACACTAGTTTCATGGATATGAAGAGTTTGGAATTGATGTTATTGTTGCAAGTTAGGTTAGCATATGGTGTTTTTCTGTCAAGCTCGGGTCGTTTTGCTACTAACGTGCGAGTAAGGTCTCGTCAGCACTAATGGGGGATTATCCACTGGCCTTTTAGAAAAAAGTTAAATATGATTATTCAGTTTTTATACTTGTGACTGTTTGCTAGTAAAGTTACCGAGCTTAAGCTTCATCTTGAGCTAGCTTACCGAGACTGTTATTTCGCAGTGGTAATGCTCAGTCATCCTTCGATCTGAAATGATACGTCGAATAGGTTATCACAGTTATTTGACAACCCCTTCTTATGAAGTTTTGCATGCACATAGATAATTAAATCCTGATCAGATAACTATAATGAAGATAAAAGTGTTTTGTCTTGTCTCACTGATGTTGAGGCGCATGACAATCAAGAACGAATTTCATTGATGCGTACCAACCATGTACGTGCTTTAGATTTTATCACTCTTAGTCATAGACTATTTTTCCAAATAAGAAATTCTCAGTATTTTGACCGATAAATCAGTTCAGGCTCGCGAACTTTTCAGTCTAAAACATCAGCCAAAGTCCTTATTGTTTAGCTAAGAAAGGTTTTTTTTTTAAAATCTGGATTGACGCAACCGATTGCCATTAGCAGTTCATTTAGTGCTAACAACTGAGTTGAAAACGTAAATTAGCCACCGTAAGGGGTAAAAAAGCTGACGTTTCGAGCGTTAGCCCTTCGTCAGAGCGATTGGATTCCTCCAATCGCTCTGAAGAAGGGCTAACGATTCCTCCAATCGCTCTGAAGAAGGGCTAACGATTCCTCCAATCGCTCTGAAGAAGGGCTAACGATTCCTCCAATCACTATGAAGAAGGGCTAACGCTCGAAACGTCAGCTTTTTTACCCTTTACGGTGGCTAATTTACGTTTTCAACTCAGTTGTTAACACTAAATTACCTGCTATACTCTCCCACCGACGCAGCACCACAGTTTCTTTAGAAACTTACCCCTTTATTCGATTGGCATTAGACAGCTTATAAAGTTGTGCATGTTTGCGACAAAATCAAAGCCAGTCTCTATCATGATAGCTGACAAGAAGCTAGAAAAATACCAGGCTAAAGGTTATTTCAGCTTTAAACTGACGATGGATAAGTTGATTCAACTTGGAAAAAGAACTATTCCAATTCATCAAAAAGAATCGCAAGATTAATTCTAATTAAAGGTGTTAACTGATGGTTTGAACTCTGGTTTTAAGAATAGGTGGGTATGGAATCTTTTCAAATTTGTTGTTTTCCAGTGCGCGCCCATTTTACGTACGTAATCGCGACCTATTTAGGTTCAAACATGATTTCGAAACTTAAAAACATATTTTTCATGAATTAGAATACTCATTGACTGAGTTTCAGTCGAGTTGGACGGGAAATTACTTGGCTCTCGGTCATGACGCACGGTCTTTGGAGCGCTTAATCCGTATGCGGCCCTCCCATTCAGTCATTAAGTACATAATCTATTTTAATGCAATTATGGTCAATTATTGCAAAAAATAATAGTGGCCTTATAGTCTAGACAGGCCTGTGCAATAGAAGCACGTTATCTTAACTGATGCAGGCGTAGATGTTTGAAATTATAATCTTATTATTTCATTGCACGTAGCTAATCACCCACGTAGAGAAAGTATTCATTGTGTTTTATATAATATATATAAGCAAACTCGAGAACAATGCAAAGTCTTATTGTGCTTCGGCCGAATTTGTTGGGAGATAAATATGAGTATCGATATGTTTGAAAAGCTAAATATCCAAAGATTCTGATAGGTCATTTCGTCATTTATTTGCCTTTCTACCAAAAAAATAACAAGAAAATTCCGAACGAGATGGTGGAATTTCACCCTAAAAACAACATATATATTACCTAAGCTAACCCCTGATAAGCTGCAGTTTGGCAGAATTTCAAATCATTACTCGAATTTGAAGAGCTCAAATTTACTGTTTAATTGCGGGCTGACGACAAACTGCGTTTTTCGTTATTAAAGTAAAATCGCGGATTTGATTGATACCACGTGTAGTCATATTAGCAGGCCTTACCTTGATCGAGCCTAGTTAAGGATGCTCTATAAACTAATTGATTTGAGTAACCACGGGTATCTATTTCTCGGTTTGCGTGGGCTTGGAGGCACGAATATTTGGTCGTGATATTGCAAATAAATCACGACGGCACTAGTGCTTTGAGTTTGTTTCGTTTTGTACTTGGCAAGGAGAGTGTTTTTGTTGAATATTTGTTCTTGTGATACCACGTACTCTAAATTTCATTGCATCTATCTTGCAAAGCCTTCAAAAAACATGATACTCGACAGCTTTTAAGAAAGAGTCTTTTTAATTTTTTGAATCCTTAGTCTGTATATGCATCTGGGTCAGCTTCAAAAAAATTGCAGACTGATCATTTTATAGCCACGCTAACGAAGTCTTCTTCTTCAACACCTGTAAATCGTGGCCATGGTTACTGAGTGTTTTCAGACTGGAATGACGCTACCGACTCAGGCATTTGACCATTCTATAACTAATATAAATGATTAAGACCAGTAATATAAGACTTTGGAGCATGCACATCAGCTAAAGTTGACGACGGACGAAATACTATTCATACATGGCAACTAAAAGGATTAGAAGTCTGAGTATATGATTGAAATGCACCGCCACAATCACCACATCTGCAACTTTTGTCTTTTTAAAATACATTTGTGACGACCGATTGTGTCGGTTCATATCCCTAGTTTCTACGACGTTGTAAACCTTTTCGTCAAGAAACGTCATGTTACCAATCAGTGTTGCCTCTTAGTTCAAGCCTCGAGAGGTTGGTGTTTGGCAATTATGCCGAATCACATGATCTCAATCTATAACTAACTTCTGTGCACACCAATACATACCTATCAGAGACATGGCTCGAACTTTTCCGCGCTTTATGTTTAAATCTGATACAAACTACGTTAAGAGTTAATGTCAATTTGTTCAATTTTTGGAGTTTTGCTCATGTTCATTGAAAAAGCGAGTCCCTCGTATAGTACTGATCCATCGTAACTGTAACTAAACAGTTTGAATAAACTTTTAAACCTATTGACATTGTTTTTGCTCTAAACAAAGGCAAGGAAACAGAGAAAAAAGAATAAAGGGCGACAGAAGGATTATATACCGACGGGAAAGCTTTGCTAAAGAGATCAAAGAGAAGTTAGCGAAAATGACAAAGAAATAAAAGACTTAAAGTTTGATAATTATTTTTGCATTAGTTATAAACTTATCTTATTAATCTTCGCGAGCCATCCTTTAATCCAATTGAAAGAACTTGGAATTTATAAGTTCATTTTCCTTATGATAGATTTTTCCTTTGTTAGAAGATGTGTCTATACTGCCGCTGGATCCACCGTGCGGCAAGTGAAATATGGCTAAAAGTTGGAAGAGCACAAAAGTTGAAAGAACAAGTTGACTCGAGCGTTTGGCCGGATCTGTCAACAGGGGAGAAGTCCGGGAGAGAAGATGGTATATAATCCAGTTATGAGTCCTCGTGCAATTTAGCACTCACTACACTGCCGGCAAATGATAGCCACACATTGCGTGATGTAAAAGGGGATTTAATCTTGTCTGATGCAATTATTGCAGCCGGCATCACCGTCAGGCTTGCGTTGCACTGGAAGATTGGATGAC